AGCCCAGGAGTTTGAGGTTGCTGTGAGCTAGGCTGACGCCACGGCACTCACTCTAGCCTGGGCAACAAAGCAAGACTCTGTCTCAAAAACAAAAAAAAAAAGAAATTTTATTTTATTGTGGTGCTCATTCGTTATTTTCTCAATCAGTCATTTCTAAAGCATTTACTGAGTACCCACTATGTGCTAGGCCTGGAGATACAAAGTATTTGGTCTTGGTCTGTTAAAATGAATCACAATGAATCACTATAAAGTTTATTTATTTATTCCATCAGTCAGTAAGTCACAAGGAAACATTTATTGAACATCTACTAAGTGAAAGACACTATGTAAGGCCTAGAGATACAGCAATACACAAGAAATAAGAGAAGGATCTCCTTAAAGGATACACATTTTGAAGTCATCAGTATATGCAGTGTAACAAGGTTTGTGAGTGAATATGATTACTCAGGAAGAGAGCAGAATGAGAAGAGAAGAGGATCTCACACAGAAAACTATAAACTGTAACACTTAATAATGAATAGAAGTGAAGCCAGCAGAAGTAAACTGAGAGGAGAAAAACAGGAGAATGTGGTGTCATGGAAGCCAAGAACATAGAGCGCTGGGGAAAATATACTGAGATATCAGGAATAGGAAGAGAAAATGCAGATGAAACAGCAGAAAATGCTGTAGAGAAAATTTGACTGGAAAGGGGAAGGAAGACAACTGTTTTTTAAATGCTGAGGAGCAAGTATAGAGAGAAAGATTGAATATGAGAAGGGCACAGGATTACTAATAGTACGAGGTTTTGAAAAGATGGAGAACATTGGATCCAGAGAACAGGTAGAGAGGCTGGCCCTGGAGAAAGTATGAACCTTCTTTTATCCTAACAAACAGGAAAGACAGATGGGTACAGACATAGGTATGCCTAGAGATTTGGTAGTGAAAGTTGTATTCATCCAATGCTTGGTCAAGCAGGAGACAAGATCACCTGCTGAGCTTGAGGAAGGATAAAGGAAGTTTAAATGAGTGGGGGCAGGGGAAATCTGAGGAGGGCAGAGATTTGAAAGTTGTTGGAAAGGGTATGTTGCCAAGATAAATGTAATTTGCTGCTGAAAACTCAGTTGAGTTTGCTGATCATAAATTTCCACAAGCCTGGTTATATGATTTTCTCCAGCTGTGCTTGAAATAGGCCTGTAAAAGAAAGGATAATGGCAAGAAACTAAAATGAAACAATGGACTACA